GTAAAGGCATTGAGGTGTCTCTAAATAAGCAGTATAAGAAACACCAGCACCCAGAGAAAAAGTGAACATATTAGACCCAAATTTAGGGACTTTTTTCTGAAGAAGTACAGTAGTCAAAATCCAGGTTTTTCCCTATTCCTCTGAAGCAGAGGGTGGTGAATCTGCAGAACCCCTGCGGAAGCATTTTCTGAGGTCACGAACTGGTTGAGGGCACTTATATTTTTTTCTGTGTATCTAACTCGGGCTGCCTGCCTTATTTCTTTCGCATTTCACAAAGCCCTAAACTTCTAAGCCTGTGGTCCTATGCTGTGGAGGGGCTCAGCCCGCCCACCCACAGCCACCATCACTTTGCTAAGCCCTTGCTGCCTTCCAGTGGTTCCTTTTTCAAGCCAGTTTCCTTCCTGGGCTTGATCCATCCCAATGCTGATGTCATATTGGTGAGGTTTATTGAAAGTTGTTCCTTGCTGTTAATTTACAGCCTGGTGAAGGCAAAAGGAAGAGGTTGGGATTTTTCCTCTCTCAATGCTTGATTTGAGATAATACAAATATGAAGAAATACATTACTTTGAGATTATGTTATATAGAGAGGAATGGCGCTCACCTCTTTTACTTTTTTTAAATTCAAGTACAATACTAATTAAACCATGACTAAACAAAAGAAGACTGGTCCACTCTATAGAGTATTTGAAAAGAAAAACTTCCCTTTACAGGGCCCAGCAAATGTGCACAGTTCAAACAAAGTATGAGGTGCTAACAAACGGAGTCTTGACAAACCTTGTTTTCCTGCACAGGGGCTCAGTTCATAATGATTTCATTCAGCAGCTACTGTTCAAGCATGGAAAGTGTTGGTAAAGAAATCCCACAGAGATCAGACAACCATTTTCCTAACTTAAGCTTCCCCCTCCGCTCCTCCCCCGTTTGCCTTTCGGGCCTCTGCCAGTCATAACATAAATATTCATCAGCTGATATTTGCAGTAGCTGTGAAGTTATGAATGAGACCAAACGCCTTTCCCTCCTGCCCCTTCTGCAAAATGGCAGCTCCTGGTCTTAGCTCATGGTCAAATGACACTTTCTGAAATCCCCAAAGTGCACTTGCAGGCTTTTCAAATTCATTCGGGCTTTTAATGCGCAAAGCAGAAATGTTGTCTACCTAATATTTACCCTGGGATTACTGAAAAAAAAAATATATATATTACTTTGCTATGCTTTAAACTTTGCGATGCCTTGACGTAATAGACAGAAGTGTTGGCAGCTCAAAATGTTGGTTGGTTTATTTCAGGGGACATGACTGCAGGTTTCCTTTCTGAATTGAATACCAGACACTTGAACAATTTGTTGTGCAGAAAAGAGAAATGGCTTTTATTCTTAATGCTGGTTTCTTAACCACCTGGGTGCTGTCAGAAAGAGCCACATGCACTGGAAAACACTTTTAATAAGACTCCTTTAAGCCTGTCTTAAACCCTGAATCCTGAAAATGGAATCCCCACTGCCTGTCATAGGTCTTTTCTCTCTGCAGATTAGTGAGGGTCTGCTGCTTTAGAAATGCTCCATTTTCACAAAGCGTGGAATTATGCTCTCAAACCTACTGTGGGTCAGCAAGACAGTGGGATATCTGATGTAGCTACACCAGCAAAGTCAAAAGCAGAGATGTCAGAGAAACAAGATGACAGTGCAGAGCTTTAATGAGTCTACTTCAGCAAGGTATCAACACTGGCTCACAGAGGATTAAAAATCCTAAATGCCCAGAGCCATTGGGAAGTCTTGGTGAAGAGGCTCAGCACTGTTTGTGATCAGGAAACTGGTACAATTTTTTGTAGCTGATTCTCATAGATTCAGGCATAAATAAAAAAATTACCACCAAAAACATCATCTTCTTAAAGGAAGGCAATAGACTCAGGAAGTTTTAAAGATGTTGCAATCACCCCATTTAATTTTGACCATGGAAAACCAGAACATTTCAATCAACAAGTCTCCAATATATTTTTGTCAATATCTTCTAAAAAAATTTAACGACTACAAAGGACAATTTACCATATGCCTTGAGAACATTCCAACAATCATAATCCTTGTTGCTAAAAGAAAAAGGCTCTATGCTTTGTTTTAAATACCTTCAACTTTCATGCACAGCACCATGTATGTTCTTTTTAGTGACAAAAGATCCTCAAAATCATCTCACCTGCACCTCCAAACTAAGATCATGTACTCACTCCATCTTTTTACTGATCTGTGTACACTTCTTGGAATATTTGCAATGGCAAAGGCTGCAGAGGTGTTGGGTCCTGCATGGCAAAAAGGTTTCACCTCTGGGAAATTAGACACAGGTTTATCCTCAAGACATAAGTGAACATGGTCAGGGCAGGAAAAATTATAAGGCAGATGCTGAATACACACTTTAGCGTAGCTCCTCTGCTCCCACATACAACTGGGAGCTGCTTGGAGTCTGCACATTACACACATGAGATCAACAGGCAGCCCCTTAACCAGACACATGTGCAAAGTTTTGTTGTACATATCTAAATCATGTGGTGGAATGGACTTAGGATTGCTTGATTTGGAAAATTTAAATTCACAAGTAGAAAACATTTTACTAGGAATTTCTGCTTTTGACAACAAATAAAATCCCCTAAAGTTACACTCTGTTTTTTTTGCACTACATCCCAAAAATCCAACATTTTTACCAGGCTGATGGTCCTGTTTTTATCAGCTGTTTACATACTGTTGTGCTGCTTAAAACCATCTTTTTGGGGCAACGGAAGTTTCTATGTGACAGCACAAGTGAAGAGTAATTAATTTACACACTTCACTGAACACTCAGATATTGGGATGCACTGTTCTGGCATTTATCGTGGTGACGTGGCACAGCAGGATGGAGTAACTATGGACAGCACTACAAACAAAAATAAGGATGAACAAAACTAATCACAATGACGCTTCCTTGCACCTGGTGAGGCAGTGGCAATAGAGTCCATGCTGGTTACAAGTAGAAAAGGAAAGAGAAGCTTCAAGGTATTTATCCATAGCAATTTTCTCATGAGAGTGGGAAGGTGAGACTGATAAATGGTAGCTCAGGATGCTGTCTCCTCCATTCCAATGTATTAATATTTGTAGTAATAGACACATTGCTTGTCCTGTGTTAATAACCAAAAAGCTTCTCAGAGGCAGCAAAAATCTTCCAAGGTAAATTATCCAGTGCACAAATTCAGAATGGAATGATTGTGCTACAACCACAGCTCTAGAAATCATGGCAGCAGCCACAGTGTTGGCTGAGACACATTTTATGTTGCAGCCAACATCTTTGCTCATCACATAGTACTGAAGATTTCCAAACACATCAGTAAACAGAAACACAAATTAATAAACGAGCTAGGGGGCTGGATGTGTTCTACAGTTCCTTGTTCTTTGGATGCACTCTACATCCTCTATAATAACTTGACAATATGGTTGCGTCCATATCAGAACAATAATGGAAAAAGGATTGAGAATCAAAAAGAATAATTTTCTTTATCTTTTTATCTTTATGGTAAAAGGGCTTTTCTGCAATAGATCAAAAGTATGGTTTTATAGTTGCAGAGGGGACATGTACGCCCAAACCAAACACACTTGAAACAGATAAAAAGCAGACACACAGATGTTTGAACTGTCTGGGTTTATGCTCATTAGCATGCCAGCTAATTATTTCAGTTGAGTGTGGTTTTGTAGTCTGTTATGCAGCAGTTACAAACCTGCACATAACTACTTGCAAGTGCCTGTCCCTAGACTAACAGGAGAAGGACTGTCAATGATACCAGGAGGTCTTCCCAGTCTCTCTGGCACCACTGAATAACCAGAACATAAACTGGAGCTGGAGCTATCAGAGATGTCTCTCAGCCTGCTAGCAGGGAGCACACAAAAAGCAAAGGCTGGGAGACCAAATCTGGTTAAGGTATGGTTTATGGATAAATAACACAGAGAGTGAAGTACAGAGATCATAATCTATTTGGGTTATTTATATATTAAAGTGTGCATGTCATGCACTGGGACTGTTTGTCTTTCCATTCACAAAAGATGGATTGAGTGAAACTCTGAGCAACCTGGTATAGTGGAAGATGCCCCTGCCCATGGCAGGAGTGTGGAAACTAGATGAGCTTTAAGGTCCCTTCCAACCCAAGCCATTCTATGATTCAACACCAAGACTGTAAAAGGGCAAGATTGTCTGGGAAATACCCTGCAGCATTTAGAAGGTTACTCCACAGGTCTTGCCAAACTAAGAATAATCACCACAGTAGCCTTGCCACAGAACTCACTGCTTTCCTCCAGCTGTGGCCTCAAAATTCCTGATAAAAGCAACCATCAAGCACCTCACATGACAGCTGTAAGTCCCACCAATTCAAATACTATGAACTTGATGGGATACCCACAAAAGTTCCAGTGAAAGCTATGAAAACTTTGGTGTCTCTTGGGAAGGTAGGGAGAACTGAGCCTGTAGGTTCACTTGAAGGTCTTTACCAGTCTCCTCTGCAGATTCCTTACCATGGCTGTGGATGCTGTATGGCAACCAGGGACTGTGTTCCTCTGCCACAAGACTCAGTTCTTTCTCCGCTGACATAAAGTGCTGCTGAAGTACCACAGGCCACCAAAGTCCCACCTATGCAGGTCCATTGTCTGGTATGGCAAACCTTCAACTTGAATCCCAGGTAGGGGGCTCTTGAAAACGGAAAATGAGCTCTTACCTTCTCACCGAAAACACCCCAACAACACTCACACCTGTCCATAACTCATGAACTCATGCCCTACTATTTCCAAAGGACAAAGACTCTGCCCAGAAGTCCCACCCATCCTTCTCATCCCAGGTTCCCTGTGCGAGGTCACCCAAGGATGTCACAGTGGGGGCTGGTGTGGGCATGGCAGTAAACACACAGCACACAGTGAGATGCAGTGCCATAGCCCCCAGTCCTACAGCCATGGATTAGGAGCTGTGGAACAAACTCACCAGCAGGCAGTGAGGAAATGAGGTGGATTAGTGCCAGCTTGAACTCTTTAATTGCAGATATATTCTGTTGGTCACAATCTCAGGAAAACACAAGTTCCCTTTTCCTAAAATAGATTTTTCTGCTTGTAACTCTTTCAAAAAGCTTGCCAGTGGAGTTTCTTGTATGAAGGGCACTTCTTTAGTTCTTCCAGGTTCTTGGGTAGAGACATAAGCTTGCCAAAAAGAATTTATACCAAATTCAGTAATGTTTGCTGCTCTTAAATACCTAATGGGAAGGCTACAGACATGTAACTCCTAAGTTAGTGACAATTTGCATTAAAATTATAACAGAGACCCCCACCTACACTCTTCAGTCTCTTTCTTTGATAGAATTTGTGTACAGATCCAGAGGAAGGAAGCTTAGGTATGGGAGATGATCCTGCTGTTTGAATTCCCATCTCTGATCAGAGTTCAGGTTTCACCTGTTAGGAAGATTGTTTATCTCACACTCATGCTAGGTTTCTGGGTCTGGTAACAGAACATGCTGAACTAATTTGCTGACCATAGAATAGAGATGTGCACAATACCCATCCTGAATTTGTGTAACAGCTGAGTTTATGCCATGTCACCTTATTGTAGAATCTTGACACTTTCCTTTGAAGTCTTGGTGACTGTTCTCAAAAATGAGACTCATCTCACATGAAATAAACCTTATGGTGAATACATGCTTTCCAGGAACCTTTTTAATGACAACTAAGTGTTTAAAATCCACTATCTTCAGTTCTCCTAAACCACCTCTGCTCTGTTACCTGTGGACCTTCCCCATGGTTGTTGAGTATTTGTGGTGTGTGTTGTCCACCCCAGTGTTACCTGCCTAAGGGAGAACAGTGAATTAAGGTAGTGGAAGGGAAAGTGAAGGGACTCAGCTGGGGGAATAATTTGTTTCTGTCCCCATTTTAGAGAGAGACTTTCTCTACCTCTGCCTGTCAATTTACCCTTCAGACTCTGTTGAGCAGAGACTGCTGCCTGCAGAAAAGCATCTCTGCTGTGCACAGCACTGCCTTGACCTTACAACTTACAACTGATGCTGTCATAAAGTAATAACCAATATTAATCACTGTCAAGTCTAGTTATATGAATATCTTCCCTTTGGCTGAATAATTCATCTGTATGCAACCCCCATCCTTCCACACCATAAGAGGTGCCAATTGATTACTCAGTGTGGATAATTACTTGAGCACCATGAAGGTCTGTGACAGAGTACTGATGGTCTCAGGGCGGTCCTATCAGGGTGCTCTTGGACATAATTCATCCTACCCACCTGGAATGATGAGATAGGAGCTGGAAATCCCTAAGGGGGAATCAGATCTTTGAAGTTCCCCTGGGACACCCTCTGGGTGCCCCTTTCCAGAGCTCAGGCCCCAGGGAAACACAGGGCTGCCCTCAAGGACATTCTTATATTGCACATAACCAATGTACCTATGCAAAGGAAGAAGCTGAGCTACAACACAAAGGCATTTTGCATCTGGAAGATGTGTTCTTGATGCAGCAAAACATCTTTGTTATGAATGTAACATATGCGATACTCTTCCTCTGTTTGGCAGGAGATAAGAAAAACAGAAGCAATGCAAAAATGAAAACAAAATGGAGCATATAAGCATCATGAAACAATTACAGCGCTGCATCTCATTAGGATCTAAATCTGGGATTGCCAGTTTTGTTTTAAAACCAGTTTTGTTCAACACCCAGTGACAGAATTTAAAAGCTGACATATCTTGCTGTATTGTGGGCTGCAGTCACAGCTGGTGTAAATCAGTATAAACTAATGAAGTCAATGGAGCTGCTCTGATTTACACTAGCTGAGGTTATGGCTCAATAAGGTTCGGCTTGCTTTCTAGGAGTGTTCAAGGAAGCCAACTTCTGTGTGTCCTGTGATGAAGTAGTTGTTTATAATGGCCTTCAGTGTGGTTTGAAGCCAAATTTCCACATCAAAACTAGCTTTATAAGAGATATCCTTACAGTGAGGTTCAGTGCAAAATCATGACTTCAGAAGCCAGCTTTCCTCATGCACTCAAGTATTTGATTTCAGCCTGAAAACCATTTGAGAAGCCAAGAAAAGCAGAGCCATTCCTGCCTACTTCCCCAGCTCGGCTTCATCTTTGAGTCGCCTGCATAACCAGCAGGCCCCGACCTACACTGCCCATTTATCAAGGCGAGTTACTCTAAGTGTCTGTTTATTTATGTTCAGAAATTCCCAGTAAGACAGACAAGTTTCATGTTCAACCTGGAAAATTGGGGATGGGGGTGGAGTTCTTAGCAGTTGCAGAGCTATTTGTTTGACTTGGCCACTAGTGAAAATAAAACACAATAATGTGTCCTGGAGTCACAGCGAGAGGTGGAGGTCACAAGAAAACAGATCATGTCTTTCACAGCTCCTCAGCTCCAGTGCACTGAATTATGACTTCTGTTATTTACTTACTAGATTCTCCACCCTGTGTGCACACTCCAAACATTCGGAAAGCAGCAGGTATCTGCTTCAAAGGACTGATAGGCAAGTAAGAGAGAGAGGAAAATCTGTCCTGAAGCTACAGTAACCTCCTCCTCCTCCACCTGTTCTCACAGCCCTTGGCTGACTGCTGCCATCTGCTGAGCCAGCCTACAGTCCTGCACCTCTGTGCTCTCCTCTGCTGAGTTAAACTGCCAGACCCTCATGGTAAAGATGTTCCCAGCACAGCCAAACCTGCTCAAGGTGGGCTTTTAGAGAAGGATGCTGTTTTTATTTTTCTTAGGAGAACCCTGCTCCCTGCATGTCCAGCCTCAATATCAGCTGTCCAGAAAACATTTCACTGACCTTGCCACTTTAAAATAGATTGATTTATTTAGAACTTAGTGCTAAAAATGCATGTCTTGATCTCAGTTGCTGAGATCCCAAACCAGGGCTGAAGCCTCTCCAAACCTCCTGACTGGTTTCTGCATATTTTGTGGAGAATGCCACCCTCTTCTACACTTTTCAGTGGGTTTAATCCTCCAGGAGCTCACTGGGGCTAAGGAGACAACTTTGTAGCAATGCTTCCAAAAAGGGAATTTCTGAACTGCCAGCAGCAGAGAAATCCACACACAGACTGAACATGAAACACCAGTGTGTAAGAGCCTGCCTTTCATCTGAACCTCTTGGGAAGTACCACTTTCTCCTAAACAGCACCAGATCATCCTCCTCTTTCATACCCTCAGATTTTGCTTTCGGTCTCTTCTCTCTTCACAAAACATGTGATAAATACTTTCTCATTAAAAGCTGCAATCTCCTTTTCCAGGGAATGTTCCTGGTCCATCCTGGGAGGTGATTAAAGAAACCCATTCAGTTACTGATCATTCACCAGCCTCCCAAACCAGTTGGGATTTTTCTCAGTACCCAGCACACCAGGTGAGTGTTGTCTTTCTGGGTACTGAAATATCACTCCCCTTACTAGGTTTTTTCTATGTAGATAATTTTTCTTTGTATTTGTGACTCAGTATGAAGCCAAAGTAAAGCCAGAAAATAATTTCGCTATTAAACCCATCATGTTTGTTATTTGATATTTGGGTAGGCAGTTACACTAAAGCATCATAAATGCAAAACATTTCTGCTCCCCTCTACTTCTGTACCTTGATCTAAGGACTATGACTAATTGTTCCTAAAATGTGTTGAGTTCATGTGTTACTTAAGACAAATAATTTTCTACTTACATATTTCATAAACACCTACTTTTTTTGTTACATTACTTATGTTCTCCTCAGAAACACTCTCACAAACCATGGAATATCTACTATCACCTGTGTGCTCTGGTTTTTTCTCAGCTTCTCCAGATGAAGCAAATGTGGAGATAGATTTTTTTTTTCTTAGCCTGGTCATTGTTCAGCTTTTAAAATGGTTCAGGGCACTCAGTCTTTCGCTTTTTAACCCAAACCAAATAGAATTTTTACCTTTTTTAAAAATTATTTAATAATTTCAAGAAGTAGTTATATTTGGCTGTCTCAAAATCAAAATAAATTATCTTCACTGTGGAATATTTTAAAAAGAGAATTCCACTGGACAAAATTAATTTACTTTCTGTTAACAGTCTTACGGCCTTTAAGTATTTGGCTCTAATTTTGGTTTTTATGCTTGTCTAGTCTTACTAGGGTTGAACTGGAAGGCAGTCAGATGATTCTCAGATAACAGGCAGGGAAAAAACAATGTAAACCCCTTATCCCAGAGGAACTAGAAACTATGAATTACACACAAGTAAAGAAACCAGTTTCTTCACCATCAGAACTTCTACTGAACAACAGAGTTTCAGAATTTTCCTCGAATCTGGCTGGGGCAAAGACAGGAAACTGCATCTTCTGAGCTTTAGAAATAGATCTTAAACATGTAAACATAAGATATTACGCCCCTCTCTTTTAAGTAACATTTATATTATCTTAAATAAACAGTCTTGCCGAAGTTAGTCTGTAATTGACATCTGACACAGTCCACATTGCAACAGATATGATAAGTGCAGGAAACAGCAGAAATTATGTTTCTCTGTTCTCTGAGAAACATTCATATTTCCCTGCACAGATAAACTTTATTTTGTTGCTACGCAACTCTCACACAACAGACCACATTCTGCAGTAAATAAGAGTACAAATTTTACAACTGGAGGGCAAGCATGTGGCCTTTTGGGTTTTCTCCCCATTTTGAGTTCCAGCCCCAGCTTTAGTTCACATTATAATATTCCATCATTTTATTACAAAGCTGCCTCTAAAGCTCAGTAAGGGATATTTCAAACTGAGCAAAGCGGGAGAGTCAGAATGCATGAGGCTGATGGGAAACAAATGGTGGAGCTGGTGATGTCAGTGAAATCATGAAATTAAGGGGTTTTTATCTTCTTTAGTCTTCTTTTAAAATGAACATTAAATTTTCACAGCAAGATATTCAAAACCTGTGTGGCCTTTCCCTGCTCCCTGTAAAACTGCCATACCTGCAAGGGAGGTGAGACAGGTGAAGAGCTAGCCTTGGGTTTACCCAAGAAGAAAACACTATAATCTTATCTCCTTTTTTCTTTACAGTTGCAAAATTTCTCATTAATTCAGTGGATATTTGGGTTGTTCATAGAAGAGAGGCACAGATCTTGCATGTCTCCACATCCTCCTCATGAGCAGAGTGAAGAACATCAAGATTTATCTGACTTAAGGGTGTGCATGGAAACTTAACAGAGCCACTAGGCTCTTCCCAAATCATGCGTAAATGCCTCAATTATTCAAGTTTCCCTTTTACACATGGCTGCAAATTCTACAAACTCTCCCAGGCAGCGTCAGCCTTCCCTTGCCACTATTAGCAAATCAGTCCAGGTGAAAAATGTGACTTGGAGCTCCAGGTGGAGGCAGCTGGCACAGTTTGGGCTACGGGGATTTGCAGCCAAGGATGTGACATATATCCAACGCACGTACATAACAGCTGTCTGATTGCAGAGGGCTTGTGCCACTTAAACAGCTGAATTTCCCCAAGTTTCCCCAATTTTTCTTTGCTTTTTGGTTTCTTACAATGAAAAGTCCTCTGGGCTCCTACAGCCTACGTGCCACAAGCCCAGATGCTTATAAAGTCACTAGGGAAAGGACACTTTGTTCATAAGAAAGCAAGATTTAATCTCTACAATCTACAGTCTAGTTTCTCTAAACAGTGAGCAAGAGGCATCTTTTGCATTTTAAATTTCAGCATTTCTGTTTATAGTTTCACTTCAATAGCTAAATTACTCCCAGGCATGGAAATTAATTATCAGCATTTGTTGCAAAACACCTTGACATTTTTATGCTGGTCTTGTATAAAGGCCCATCTCTAATCACACCTCCCAGTGTAGCAGCTTTCCTTAAGAGCCCAAGAGATTTGGAAACACCTGTAAAATTTGCTTTGAGTTCTTTCTTCAACAAGTGATTTCTTACAGAGCGGAGCGTTCCCTCAGTCAGGATTGCAGGAGGAGGCCCACAGAGGGAATGCAGTTGAATTTTGTCTGGAAGCACAACAGGCAACACACAAGGCAAGAGTCTTCAGACCTAAATCTTGGAAAACAATACTTGATGTCTTCGGATCAGTGTCCTGCCAATTTCTTCTACTCTCCAGCATCCTGGAGGAGAAGTTGCAGATCAGTTCAAGCCCCTGATTTTCCAACCGACTCTAAACCTTTTCTTTTACTGCCTCATAAAAATCTCCATTCTGTCAGATGATATCCACCCCTTAGTGACCAAAGATTTGCCACTACTTTTCTATGGATTTATTGCTCTCCTTGCAAAAAAAAAATCCCCAACATAATGTTTTCACCTAATCTACTCAATTCCCCATTTATAAATCAGGGATAACAAGTCTTTTTCCCATTTCTCCACAAACTAACTTGTTTAGATTGCAAACATTCCCCTCATACGAGTTGCTATAGCATCTTGCCTGGGGCAAATGAAAGCTCTGAGAAAACTTGATTATGGAGAGGAAATGTCGATGTCCCACCTGTCAGTGCCATTGCCAGGCGAAACTCTTCCTTCAGCATCTGGAGAACTTCTTTTGCTCCTTCTTCACCCTGGGAGATTAGGAGACAATGTGAACTATTATGTGTATGTTTATGTGTGTAGGCATAGACATGCATACGTGTGCCAGGAAAGGTTTTCTGTACAAACATAAATCCTGAGGGTTGGTCATAGCAAATTTTAGCAAACAGCAAGTCAGATGATCTGGATGCACACAGATGCATCACACACACATGTTCCTCTGTGCACACAGACACACAGGTATGTGCATTTATAGGGCTAAACAGTGACTCTAGGGATCTAAAATCATGCATTTGAGCTTTCCCTCACTTACTTGATAAGCCAGTCCCCAGAGGACAGGTCTCCCAATGAAAACAGCTTTGGCACCAAGAGCCAGTGCCTTGAGAACGTCTGTGCCTTTTCTTACACCACCATCCAGGAACACCTCCACCTTCCCCTCCACAGCCTCCACGATTTCAGGCAAGACATCAATCTAAGAGAGAGAAACCAGGAACACAGCTTGGCTGCTCCTGAAACCCTATTTATTTTTTGAACCAATTCTTACACATAGGATCCAAGCTTTACAGCAACTTAATGAGCAGTTGCATTCCTAAATATATACCCAAATAACACAGCTTTGTATTGAGAACCAGCAGTGACTTTGCAGGGTAGAAGGTACATACAAAGGTCAGATTTCTTTGGAGAGTCACATAAACAGAATGAGAATCAGCAGGGTCTCACAAAATGGCCATCTGACACATATCTGACACAAGCCAGTATCTGATTATTATCCAGAATATATGAAACAACAGCACTAAGGAGGCCTTTTGGTGGTGTTACCTCCCAAACTTCCAGTCTTCACTAGTTAGGGGATGAAACTGGATCAGCTCACTTTTTAAATAATCGTCTTTGCTCCCTGTTTAAATTTCCCATTCATTTATCCTGAGGGTAAGCTCAGAAGCCCAGAGGCAGGCACTGGACCTATAGACAAGGAGTGAGAGAAACACATGCCTGAAAAAATTAAAGTAGGCTGAGAATTTTTAATTAATGCATTTTCCTTTTTGAAAATGCATCTAATTGCAAGAATGACTATAGAGAAAAACTTACTAATATAAGAAAAATATAAATTTCCTCTAAGATTTGAGCAAGGTCGGAAGTAATTTCTTTTCATGAACATGTAGTTTGCTTTCACTGAGCTCTGCTCATCCCCTTTCTCAACTTATCTCCTACACCAGTGATACAAGTAAAGGGGGAAAGTACTTTTTCTGGTCTCAAGTTACAAGTGTGTAACCAGGGAATTAAGTAATTCCTCTTGCCATGCAAGAGGTCCCAGTGAAAGGATGAGCCTCCTGAATTCAAGCCTGGAGCATTAATTACAGGGCAAATTTTCCTACAAGGCCACCTAAATAGTTCCTATTCATGAAAATCAGGAAACACCACCAGAAGCCAAGTATTAAGGAGACTGGAAACAGTATGTGGAAGTAAGACAAAAGACACACAAATCCACATCTTTCAAATACGGATGTAATTAATTTCCTTTCTAATGGATAAAAATGACTAGAAGATGGGGGGGGGGAAACTTGAAAGTGCAGCTTGTTTTTAGATTTCAATTAAAATTTTCTTGAAGTTTGGCATTTGCAGTGATTTTCCCCCTCCCTTTGGTTTTGCTCTCTTGCCAGACATATTTTGGATCTATTTCCATATCCAGAGACCACTTTCTACATCCTGACAAACTGTACCAACATTAAAGTGCTCTAATAACTAAAGCATGATGCAAACCATAATTAAAACATAGATTTCTTCAATGCGTAACTAGACACTAGAAATATTGACCAGCTTGGGTTCAGCTCATGATCTGAAACCCCACGAAACTGAAGCAAATTATTATGTTTCTAAATCAGAACCATTTAACATGATCTGATACAGATACTTTATAAAAACAGCCATTGTGAAGTAGTGTTCTTTGTACTGTAAATCCAGGGAACACATTAGCTTTAACAGTTCTCCTCTGCTCTGTGGTGTGGCAAAGGAGTAACCCCTAACAAGAAGTTTGCAAATTTCTCTTCTGCTGCAGCTGTCAAAAATTAATTTGTATTTCTTGAGCTCTCACGGGTTCATCAAAATGATGTTTTTTAACAACCTTATACATTGTTCCTGTTGGATTACCTCACACACAGGCTTGCCCAAGAGTCTCAAGTGCCCTCATTGAAATTGGGGAATACATTCCCAGGAGGTGACAAGAGTATCTGTTCCCCTCTCCCTTCAGGGAACCATCATGGAAAACAGGAGGTTTTTCATCAAGAACATATTGGAAATACTCAGAGAGGCACAATTGAGCTTTGATTCCCCTCCCTTTCATTCTCTTTTTATTTGTGCAGCTTTCCCACACCAAATGAAGCAAGATGAGTGATGACTGGAATTTTGGGGTTTTTCCTTCATCCTGAGCACATACTTTTTCATTTTCCTTCTTTCTTTTTTGCCAATAGAGAAACTCTCACATCCTTTTTACCTTTGGAAAAGTCATGGGGTAGCACGACAAGGAAAAGGAAAAAGGAAAAACTGTAATTTAACCACTCTCTCCCCTTTCCAAAGGTGAAAATACTTGAAAGGAGAAAAATTGAGTTTCATTCTGCCTTTAGCTGTTCCTTAACTGCAATTTTCAGAAGCCTCAAAAGAATATTAAAAGAGGAAAAATAACCCTAATACAACCTTCAGAGTGGTGCAAAATGGCAATGAGGGTTTTTAAAAAAAGAATGAGAAAGAAGATGTGAAAGAGGAGAGTGGAAAAAAAAATCTGAAAGATTTTCCAATTTGATTTACCAAGGAAAGCCTGTGTCTAACTCAGAGTATGATGTGACATACATAGAGAAGTGGAGAGAGGGTATTACTCATGGATTAAGGCATAGAACATTAAGGCATTTCAGGTTTTTCCACCACCTTCCACATTTTCAGAGAAAGCAAAAGAAGCCAAAAGGCAGAGAAAATTAGAGATTAGTGGAGCATATTGACATCAGTACTCACAGTAGCAGGGACACCATCAAGCTGTCGTGCTCCATGATTCGACACCAGGATCCCATTTACCCCAATCTTTACAGCTTCTTTGGCATCATCAGCTAGGAAGAAACCCAAACAGGATGTGTCCTGCCATAAGTGGGACCTTGTAGACACCACAATCAGGGAATCACTAGGTAAACCATCATCAGCTCATGCAAAGCCACCTTAGGGCTTCAGCCTTCCAAAGTCTCACCTGAACACAAAGGTTTTATCTTTAAGTAATAAGACCAGAAAAGTAGCTTGAAATATTGATGCAGAACATTTTATCCCTTTGGATCAGCAGCCACCTTGGTTGCTAGCCCTTATTTTCTCTATTGTGTTCCAGAACTCATCAGTAAGAAATTCTTTCGCTGAATGATCCTGTCCACTGCAAAATTACTGGCATGATCATATTAATGGTGGTGTTGGTGACAACACCAGGCACTTCTTTAAGCAGCTGCTTCTACAAACACCTTCACTGATGGGTTCCTGGTAGTGCAGGAGGAAGTGACAGCCCTCCCTTTGCCTTCCCCCAGGAAGCAGCAGGGCTACACACCCCTGAGGATCCCTTTCAGCACAATGGGCAGCGAGGTCAGCCCCCTCAGCCACTTGATGTCCTCCCAGTTGACAGTGGCATCGATGGCCTCAGCGACGTACACAGCCAGCCCACTGTTCTCTCCAAAGTCCTTCCCCGAGGAAAATGCCAGCTCACTGCTCGAGAAATTTTTTAACCTGAAGTGACAAAAGACACAGAAGAATAGTCTGAGGAGGATTCGCTGTAGTCACAACGGGTCCCAAATGCCAGCATTCAATATGCCCGAGTTAAAGCTTTGCTGCAGTGCAGTACAGGAGCAAAAACAGCCAGTTCCAGCACATCAGATCCCACTCCTCAGTGAGCCAAAATCTTTGGCTGACAAAGCATTTGATAATCAACATAAGCACTGGATCTTTAATGTCCCTTTCAACCCAAGCCTATCTTTCTGTGATGGTTTTGTGATAAATCTGGGACAAGTTTCTCTGGCCCAAGGTAATAGTCTGACTTCTATAGCAAAATAAATAGGGTTGGGTTTTGCTTTAAAAACCCAGGGAATTCAGCTATGAGAGGAATAGAGGATCAGGGAGGAAATAGTTTTCTTAAGCACTGTGAAACAGATGGATGTCCACAAAACTTTGCAAAGAATTCAGAATTTTCGTCTATCCAATAAGGCCAAGAACCCAGCCTCTATACCTTGTATCCCTTTTGCACATTTTCTTGCAAACATTGCTGTTACTTGGGTTTTTCAGCAACAAAATCTCACAGGTGCTAGCACACCCATGTCCCAATTGCCCTGCTCTTCTGAAACTGTGTCCTGTTCCATACTGGGCTATTTAATACTCACATTTCACATTTTGGGAAGTGCATGAGTGTTTTTGCATGGAACCTGACTGATTTCACTGCTGATTTCATGCCTGCAACAAGCAGCATTTCACATGGCTTTTCTGTTCAGTTCCAGGCCCAGAAGCAAAGGAGAAAGGAGCAGGCTCTCAGCAAGATCCAGCTTTTCAGCTGTTAAGTTTGTGGAGGGTGGGGTGCCCAGAGAAAAACAGAACCATGGATAAGATTATATAAATAACTGTTGTTTTTCTTGGCCTGCAAAATGCAGATCAACACTTGGATGAATGTTGCCTTACATACATTTCAGAGCACAATGGCACCTTGTTGTTGCTTTGAAACTTTGTTGAAAACCCGAAGCCAAGAAAAAGTTATCACATAAATGAGCAGAGCCCCACACTAGGAGAATTTCACCGTGGCCTCTGCAACAAAGCGCTGCCCGAGCAGCACTTGGGAATCTGCAGTGATTAATTGGAACGTTTAAGGATTACTCCCATTTCTCCTGATTTCATCCTGTTCACTTGAAACCTTGTTATATTTGGGCAGGGGGGGTCAAAATGCTTCAGAAACGCTCTCCCTCTTTCCTCAAATGTCTTTGGGTTGTTGGACTCATTCAAGAACTCAACCCCAGGCATTAAAATTCTATTGTCCCTAAAAATTAAGCTATTTTCATAATTGCTTAATTTTATCTTTCAGAGTAAAAGGTCAGTGTATACTGATAATGTGTCAAACACAGATCTCTAGCACAATTACAACATAGGGCACACACATACCAGTGTGGTACATTTTCATGTTAGTTGCATTAGGGCTTTTTGCTTTCCTCCTAAAACTGTACTTTAACTGAGAAATCAGGGTGGAGTTCAGGTTGCTCTGTCAACTTCCATCTCTTAGCTGCAAGTACAAGTGCACAGAGGAGAGCCAGCACCCCAAGCTCTGGAGGAGTTTTTGCCAGTGAGTTAGAGAATCAGATTTACTGCAGAACCCCATGGCTTATCTTCCTTTTGAATAGTATGGAAATTAAGAAAAACCTTTGGATGTGACTTGCTAAGTACATGTTACATACTATGTGTGTATAGTATAACACAACAGTCTTTGGAGACATAGGAAGAACAATTCAGTTTAATTGATAATATTCAAAACTAGCTTTCACCTGGAACTCACCTCAAAGTTTATCTGCTTCAAAATACATTAAGCTTTCTTTTTTTTTCCTCTGTCTCTCCATTTTTGTGTTCATTTTCATGCTCTAAATAATTCTAACATGTGCCATGATAGACTGTGGTTGTTACCAAGACCTACATGCAAGAACCTTGCAAGATTTTTAGCTTCAAGTCCTGGATATCCCAGCAAGTAAATATTCTTCCAGCCAGTCCTTGGCTGCTAGAACTGTGCCAGCACTTCAGCATATGTTTATCAGGGAAGTCTCTACAGTTTATCAGCTTGTACTTACAAAAGGCCAGGCAAATTAGCACTCTTGAGCACCATTGCAAAGTTAAAATTCTGGTTTAACTCTGTTAAAATTGAATTCCTCATCGGCCTTGCAGTAGGGAGGAACTAGATTTAATGCTGAAGTAAATCATGATGACACAAATTCTGAGACACAGAACGAGTCCCAAAACACACTGTGGGGTAAAAATTGCCCTCATGGAGAATTTAGTAAGACTTATACCCACATGTTTCTGTATTGTAGTACAAGAAGAGTTTAAGTTGCTCGAAAAGGGGCTCTGCAGTCAGTAGCAACATGGCCCTGGACCCAGAGCGGTGTCATAGGACAACACAGAAGGAACCATAACATCTTTTGGAAGGGAGTTTCAGCCCACTAAGTCTAGATCCCTTCCAGAGCCCAGCCAATTCTGCTGCTGGATCCCAGTTCGACATCAGTGCAAGTCACTCCAGGCTCTGCCCTGTTTGAAGATAGCCAACATTTCCATCTGCATAAAGAAATGCCCCGTGTCACTTCAGCAGCCTGCAGCCTCACACTGCGTCTTTTATAGCGTGCAAAGATCCAGGAAAGCTTTGTTTTGACCCAAAGCAGATCCCAGCCCAAGCAGACACACACAGAGCTCTTCCCCAGGACAAACTTCTGCAGCAGCCCATGGTGGCTGCAGCACTGGCCTGGTCCCACGGCAGGCAGCAGAGGTACCTGAGGTGCGGGGGCAGCTGGAACTTGTTGCGCACATCGGCAAGGCGCCGGCCAAGGTATGGGGTGTCCACGGTGACGAAGATCCCTTGGTAGCCGGCTCTCTCGGCGCGCCTCACCAGCGACGCCGTCACCTGCCGGTCCTTGTACACGTAGAGCTGCAGCCAGTGAAGGCCGGCCGGGGCTGCCTCTGCCACCTCCTCAATGGAGGACGTGGCCCAGGAGCTCAGCATCATCCCTGTCCCCATGGCCTGGCAGGCTGGAGGAACACAAAGGGAGATTCTCTAAACAGGAGCATTCAAATAAATGCATTTAAGGCTTCCAGCATTTTGGATGTTGCCACATGCCTCCCAAAAATCACCCTCTGCACCAGCTAACCTCATACAGATATGTTTTCATGAATCTATCACTTATTCTTTTTGGAGTAATCTGTCACTAATTGTAAAATAAAGGAAAAACATGCTGTAAAACTCAGAAATATTATAGAAAGCCTTGTTTTTCTTGGTCTACCACAGTATGCATATTTTTAATGTAAATGGACCTCTGTTTCAAGACGTCATCCCCAGCCCATGGAGGAATTAAAAGTGGTCTTTATGACAACATTTTATTAAATAAGGATTACAAGCCTCTTGGAGTGGAAACTTATGAACAGCTTATTCAAACAAATTGGTTACACCCTCCCAGGGCCACCAGCCAGTTTTCCCTCACTGGAAATACAGCAGCAATCACCCAAACCTCTCTAGTTTGTAACCATCTCGTTCCTCTCCATTAAATTACTGGACATAGTTCCCTCTACACTGGGGATGTTGCAAACCCAGGAACTGCAAAACTCTCACATCAGGTAAGGGAGAAATGCTAATGTTATGGTTCAATCTGCCTTTATGTGTTCATTTATTTCCATTTTTTCCTTTTATTCCCAAGTCTACCTCTATTGAAAAAGCAAAAATTTAGTTAGAAACTGCACAGTAAAATGTTTTTGGCAAAGAGATTATATAAATCATGGGATATCACCATATCCTTTCAACTTAGCTGCACATGTAGCAACAAAGAAAAAGTGTTTTTATCTTATTTAGGATTAGGTTTAAGCAGTTTGGTTCAATGAATATGCAGCCATCCCAAACGGGGTTATGGCATTTTCATGCAAGCATGCTCACAAAATTCCCCTAATCTCTTCTGTAAAGTTCACAGCTCTCTGCTGAAGCACCAGCTGAACACACACAGTTTAGATCTCTCAGGCAAATCCAAAGTTCACAGACAAAAGTTTTCAAAGTTTCAAAAATTCCCAGTTCCAGTTTTGGTTGATCTGTGCTTGATCTTGATAATTTTAACAATTTTGACAATTTTCTAGACTTCTAAAATCATGAGATACAGAGGCCTGAAGTGCTGCCAGGTTTGGTTGGGCTTTTTTCTACTTCAAATTAGGTTTCTCTAAAAATACACTCCAATGTCTCACACATTTAGCTGCAGTTGAAGAAAACAGAAGTAATTAATTTCCTCTAACAACCATATTTTACACTTCACTTTTGGGGTGCTGCAAATTATTTATTATTTCAAATCAGTCCTACTACAGCCATATTCCCACAGGATGCTCTTGCTGCAATATGTGACATTTGCCAGAGTTTAAGCATGAGAGGTTTTTGTAAACCAGCCTTTCCTCATGCTACTGCATGATTGCTTTTAGTTGCTTGTTTTTTATGTTTTGTTTTTTTTTTCCAGGCCTTCTTTTAATCCTGAGCATTGACCAAAGGACATATTCACCCTTGTACACCCAGGCTCCTACTGGGCTCTGTGATAGTGCAGAGAGCACAGCAGTAACCACATACAGGGAGCTGGAATCACAGAAAGGTAAAGAACCTCTTCTTCATCCCTAATCCAAACCTGCCCTCTGGCAGTTTGAAGCCATTCACTCTTGGGGAACTCAGCTGAAGTATTTTACATAGCAACACATAGGAGGAAGCTCCAGTGGGAACAGAGCAGTGACCTTTTTTAGCCTTTTTTTCATCCTGAAGCCTCAGAGCATCCTCCCCCCATCTGGTGGGGCATCACTTCCTTACGTGGTTTGGGAAGGGTTTGGAATTTGTCTCTGTGGGCAGCTCAGAGGAAGAATACTTCAGGGAGGGCACTGGAGAAGAGCCCAGTTCAAGCTTGCAGATTTTGTTAGAGTTACCTTGTATGGGAATGGGAACTGCTTTTTTCCTCTAGCCGGGCAAATTCCCATCATTTCCCTTTTAGAGGCATCTCCAAAGCTCAGCAGTCAAACTGCCCCACTGCAGGCATTTTTCCCTGAATCCAGTGAATCCACTGTCCCCAAGCTAAGGGCCAGAGGACATTCTTTGAGATCAACATGATGTCCTTTTGGCACAGTGGTATTTCTCAGGAGCAGCAGCTGTGTTCTTGGAGTTGCATCTCCCAAGAAACAGAATTGTTTAAAGAACTCCACATTGCTCTCTTGACAAACAACACTTGGCTGAGAGATCCCTGTCAGCCTCTCCTCCCTCAGCCCTTAACAAACCCTGCGTGCGAGCGGTGCCTGCCATCCTCCCATTGACACAACGCGTTCTGTCAGCTGTATAAGAAGGCTGGAGGGAAAGGGACATGTGACCAAAATAGATCTGGGACCTGCCTGACGTGCCAGGCTGCTTGGGAACACTTGCAGCACTTAGTCCCCCAGCCACGCTGCTCTCCAGGGGAAATCCAGGTCAGGTCAGGCCAGGCCACGCTGTCCCATGTGAATATTGTCTTCTCCATGACTGTGGATTGACATTAATTTTTGTATCTCAAAATTAACCTCATCTTTTGATCGCCACATAGGTAAGAGGTAGGTGTAAAGTCCTGCTGCTTTCACTGTGGCTGAATACAAAATGTAATAAATGGACAAATTCATCCTTCCCAGTCACAACCATGTCTGATGGGCAGAAGAACCCCAAATTTCAGTGCTCAGCTTCACAGAGAGAAAAAGCACAGTAGCAGCCTGTTAAGAGCCAAAGGAACAAAGGTGTTGCTCCCTCTCTAGTGAGAATGACAGAGCTGCTAGAAACTTGGCTAAAACAGGGGGAGTAAAACAGCTTTCCAGTCAATACTCCTGTGCTGCATTTGGCAAAGCAAACAGTGCAGTCAAGTCACAGGTGATGGTGAAACCCTTCGTACATCAGCAGCATCCTGGAGAGGGGTTTGAGTGTGGCTACAGAGGGCAAACACAAAAACTTCAGCCCTGAGCAACTGTCAGTGACAGTTCTCAAAAGACCTGGCCAAGAACACAGTCAGGTTCTCAGCCTGATTTTCAGCCATTCATGGAGAAGCCAGGTACTGCAATGCTGCTGTGAGGTGAAAACATAGGAATTTCAACTACTCATTAAGTGCAATATGGAATAAGCAGAAATATAAACACAAATCTCAATAAAATAATGCTACAGATCTGTTCATAATCAATTAAGGTTGCAAAAAACTTCTATTTCTTGCTGAGCAGCTGGATGGTGCATAAAATTTTGAGTCAGTGTACTTGAGGTGGGTCCTGTTGACATGGGGATCACGTTAGTTTGCAAGCACAGCATGAAGTCAGGGTGGCAAATGAATGCTTTGGCATGGAGGAACAGTGAATCTGCTGATGGACAAGCCAGAAAAAAAGATCCCATAGAATCAGAAGGATTCTATTGAAAACTGTTTAGAGAGCAAACTTTTGCTCTTTAGTGGCTAAGATTATTCATCAAATTTGGCAAATATTTTTAGTCAAAGACGTTGAAATTGGAGTGGGAAGGATGAGAAAAAAACACCTAAGTCAAAATGTCATGTGGTGATCTTTTCAAAATGGAAATGTTTTCTCCTGAGCTGACACTTTTGTTTCAAAACAGAACTATAGCTAAAACCATTAGCCAGTAGGAAAATGAAATAAAACATTATGTTTTGGATCAAATGAAACATTTCCGTTAATCCAAAACAATTTTCCTCCCAATTTTTCAGTCTCTACTGAACCGAAAATCCATTCTTTGGAAAATTGCCACATACACAGATGAGCTACAACTAAAATGCCAGTGAATATACTTGAAGGAAGACCTAGAAAAACTGGGACAACTGCCAAGGTGCATGAAATTGTTTCAAGGACAAGAGAACTTTCTCTGTAAGGAAGGACTCCTGCTACTTCCAGACAAATGTCAGAGAAAACTGAGGAGCAACTTTATTACAGCCTGCATAGACTTCTTTAAAATTTTTCTATTATTTTAAAGTCTAGCTGTCAGGAGTGCATGTAAATCCAACACCTTGATTTGAGGCTGTGTAAGGTTTGACCATGACTGCAATTTATTCTGCTCAGAGTGGGGTCACCTAACCTTTGGAATAACTTACATTGTGTTAGCTGGCCTGTCATCAGCAACTCTTGAAATGACAATTGGATGTTTTTCCTAGAAAAGATTCTTTACTCATGCAAAAGAACTGCCCATGAAGGAGTGTTTCAGGTGAGCTGATGGACCCTGCCCTGTTCTGGGAAGGTGCACACTCCTCTCCATCAGCTTGGTTGCTGCGGCAGAGCATCCCTCAGGAAGCAGCAGCCCCCAAAACCCTGAGAAGCCCCAGAGCAAGAAATTGTGAGGGCAGGGAGCTCTAAGGGACACCATGACATGCCCTTGTCCCCAGAGGGGACATTTACCCTACAGCACGTGGACAAACCTGCCAGGAGAGCAGAGCAGCTCCATGCAAGACACTGTCACTCCAGGAAATTCCTCAAGCATTGTCCTCAAACACCAGAAGTTCAGGGAAGGAGCTGTCATTGCTCTCTTCATCACCCTGCCCTACAGGGCAGCATGGTGTGAACCAGGATTATCCCTTGGGGTTCAAGGCCAGCCAGGCAGGCTCATGGTACACAGGGGCCTCCTGTGGGAGCTGCTCTGCTCCAACATGAGCCAGGGCACTGGCTGGGAAGGGGCAGGACTCAGGCCACACTGTGCTTCTCAAGGATCATGACCACAGCAGAGGCACCACCCCAAACAGCACTTCCTGCACACCTGAGCCATGAAAAGCCAAGCTTATGGAGCATGCCAGGCTTTGCAGAAGCCATAGAACTATGGGTCAGACCTCCTTGGCTTGTGCAAACTGGTGCAGCTGAAGCTGAAATAAAGCAAGCAACCAACCAAGTTTGCTCACTTAAACTCTATGCTACCTCTGGAACAGAAGAGAAGTTGGATGTGGCAAACACCCTGATCCTGAGTGTCCTAAGTTTAAGAAAACCCTTAAACCAAATGTGTACTTTACAGCTAATTCCTATCATCTTTTAAGGTCAAACCAAAATCTTGGCACTGAGTGCCCCACTCCATCTCTAACAGCATAAAACCAAAGCCATTTTTTCCTCACCCAAATGCCAATGCAATGGATGTGATTTTAATACTGCCCCCCTTTGAAAGCAATTAAAACTTCACCAGCTCCAATGGTAAGTTTTCTGGACCTCACATTCCAACTGGTGCCAGTACACCAAGCTGCCCCAGCTTGAAAACCCAGGAACACTGAATGCAAAAAACACGTGCTAAAGTTTGAAAATGTGGTACCCAGCCTTATTGTACGACTCAACTTTGCATGCCATTGTGAATTTATGCCTTAAAATGTGGCTGGGCTGCAGCATCAGTGGGAATTTTTTGCTAAGAAACATCCCAAATTTTGTGTTTCAAATCTCGCTCTCACCATGGCATTAATATGTTTGCACTTAATGTTTCAGAGTTTCCTCCCTGCACAACCTGGCCCAGAAGTGATCCGCGGGAGCTGCCAAAGGATGGGACAGCGCTAGGGCGGCCTTCCCAAACCGATCCGAGGTGCTGGAGTGCCATCGCGTGGAGTGCGCTGGCACTTGCAAAAAAGAGAAAACGGCTTCGGCTTCCGAATAAAGCTCTTGGGAAGGGGAAAAGCGCGGCCCCAAACATGCTGTGGAATTGGAGAGGTGTGTTTCTCAAAGATAATGGTGGAGCTGTGCTGTAGCCCACCCCCGTGCACATCACAGCGATGAGAACTGAGAGCAGCTCCCACTGCAGGGCTGAGAATTAGACTCGCTTCACACCAGCATCTGCTGCAGTGGGCATGGAAACGCTGTCAGATTAATAACCCAACCATGCACAGGATTATTTCTTTTTTACATATCACCTACTTAGGTGTTGTACTCTCTTCCTTTCAGCACAGGAGCACTGAAATGCACAGTCCACACTTCTTCCTCAGATTTGGTGCCATTCTACAGCTGGAGTCAAAGGAGTAGGTGACAGCTCCCCATCTGAATTCTGGTTAATATCCTTTTGAGCTGCAGCCTCTGTGCTGGCAACAATTTTGTGCAGCTTCTAGCCCAGAGGGGCCCTTATCTCACTGCCTCCCTGGGATGCTCTCAAAAAGCTCTCTTCCAAGCAAGGGTTTTTCACAGGCAAACAAAGGCCTCTAGAAGTTAGATTAATTTCTAGAGTCAAATCTCTAATAGGCAAAATGTTGTTGTGACAATGTTTACAAGTACATAGAATGTATAGATAAGTAGATATGAAATTGAAAACATCTATGTGACAAATTATTCCCCCCTTGCATCCTTCCTTTCCCCCGCCCAGTTTTATGAAGAGGGAAACCACACTCAAACGAGTGAAACGGTAAAAAACAAACGCAAGAAGCAACCCGGTTACCCCGAGCAGCAGCTCAAACCCTCTCAGGAGCGAGGAGCCCAGGCGGGATGCCCAGGCAGGGCACTGCCCCGCCCTGTCCCTCCCCATGCCGCGGCAGCGCTCACCTCGGGCGGTCGCCGTCTCTCCGTGGGGGTGAGCCATGCGCTGCATCGCCGTGGCAGCCACACACACGGGCACGGTGACCCTCTGGCCCAGGACAGAGGTGGACAGGTCCATCACTGACACGTCCCTGAGCACCCGCGGGTACAGCTTCCACCTGGCACACACACAGATACACTGAATTTCAAACGGCTGCAGCATGGCAGGAATTCACAGCTCCCACTGGGCAGGAGCAGGTTTTTCTGCTGTCCGTGGGGCTGGAGCAGAATCCCACTGCGCCATCCAGAGCTGCAGCAAAACCCCTGCAGGGCACAAAACCTGGAGGGACCAAAGAGCAGTGAGGGTGAAAGAAGCAAAGACCCCTTGAACACTTTTGACTGGTATTGTTAGAAAGGAAAGAGAGGAGCAGTAACACAATGAGGTTCGTGGTGAGTCTCAGCCCCCTGAAAGCCTTGGGACAGAACTGGATGCCAGATGCTATGTGCAAATGGGGAAAGTCATCAGCCACCCTCAGTTATCCCTTCTACGGACTAGGGAACCAACAGACACGAGATTATTGGTAACACAAGCCTGGCCTGCAGGCTTGGAGCTCCCTTTTCCAAACCAGAGCAAACTAAACCACACTTAACCTGAAAATACAGTTTACTGCAGCCAGGCTGGACACCACATCTGCACACACAAAAATTTACCTTTTTTTTCCTCCTACACACAGAACAGCATCAGAAGACCACAATCCCTATTACAGGATCAACTAGACACCATAACATTCAAAGTTTTATGAGGAAAGTTGCATTCCTGGGGATACCTGTGCCATGGGACTTGTCCCCATCATCCAGGTGTTGTCACAGCACTGCCACCACTAGAAGCCACAAGAGGAGGTGCAACACCTGGGGCTGCCTCTTGTGAGCTCAGCCAGGCCAAAGCTCCCTGCAAGCACCACTCTCTCACAGAGGCCTCTCTCCCTCCAAAAGGGTTTCCACAGCTCCTGAGCTGTAATTACAGAAAAGAATTTAAAATGTATGGTATAATACTGCTGAACTTGAGCAACTGCTCTGCACCAGAATGCTTGAGACTGATAATATTACAATTACCAGCAGAGAGAGAAAAGCACAGCCACTGCTACCCTGTGACAGGGAGTAAGGGTGAGCTTGAGCTTGTGTATTAAAATGAAAATTCAGGGGGGGGAAGACAAAATCTGTTTTATAGGAAGATCAAGAGACATTTTCCCAAAAAGCCTGGGGCAGAGCCAGGATGAGACCCACATTTCTGAAGGCCTGGAGCTTGGGGCTGTGCCAGCTCTCCAGGCAGTGCTCCCCAGGGAGGACAGTTATGATACTTGGAAGGAGATGTGTGGTTGTAGAAGTCAGCTGTGCTACTCAGTGCCAAGACACACACGGCAGGAACATCTCCTCACACTTGTTTTCATTCCATTGCAATAGTTTGTTATTTTTCAGGGGAGGATGGGCTGAGAGTGGGACAAAGAAAACATTACTTCTTTCTCCCTCTTTTTTCCCTAATCCTCATTCCAAAGGCTTCCACTCTGCCCTGAAGTATCTTTTCCCAGCAAAGAAAGAAAACAAAAAACCATTTGTAACCTTGCTCATTTATACAGTCAGACCCAAGAGCATAAAGGATGTGAAGCATCTCCCTCTTCCACTGGGCTCCTGGTTTCTCAAATAGGTACCTGCCACTGCCATCTCACAGACGGCCTGTGAGGGTCAGTCCTGAGGTACACCATCCCTGTGGTGCTTTTGGCTGGGAAGAGAAACAGGAAGAGCCAAAATTCTCCCAGCAGTGCATGCAAGAAAAATGATGCAGTCCCGAGCAGAGATCCCTGATCAGGTCACATCCTGTCAATAAACATCCAGTTGGATGGGTGCTGCTGACCCAGAACTGAGTGCTCCCACAAAAACACCAAGCAGGTTCAGTAGCTGAGTATCATCATCCTTTAATAAAACCTGCTCTTGCTTTGGAAACTTGGTTGTTTCCAACTCTGATTTTGACAGACACTTTAAACCAGGTGTTGTCTGGACAGGGAAGTGCCCTTCACAGCAGCAAGGAAACCTCAGCGGTAGCATTTCTCCATCACCAGGGCACACATTCATTTGGCTGCACACAGCACCTGCATCCTCCAAGTCCTTCAGTGAAACATTTCCTGCATATTTTGGAAAAAACTTGGATTTTTTTTTTTTTTTTTTTAAATTCATCATCTCATCACCCACATCATTTTACAGCCAAGTCCACGCTCATGTGCTGCAATCAGCAACTGAGAGTGAATGCATCCTTCTTCCCAGCTGGAAGCAGGAGGTGCCGCAGTGGGGAAGGCATCGAGCACTCCCAATTTAGGCAGCTTCAGCTAAAAGCTATTTTGAAGGAAGGATTAAAGGGAAAGAAGGGGGATTAATCTTTTGGGTTTTTTCCTTTTTTCTCCATGCTCAAAAAAATTTCTGATTGTATATTACCTTGCAGTGGCGTAAGAAGGAAGCATGGGATGCTTTCAGCCAGGAAAAACATTGATATTTTCAAACTGCACCGTATTTTCAAGCAACTTCTCTTGTTCCTCTCCTGAGTTGTCCCAAATCCCCTCATGCTGCAGGTCAAGAAGCACATTTGGGAAAATACACATTGCTCCGGCCAAGCCTCCATCCTAAACCAAATCCTGTTTGCTGCCCTTCTGTCTTCTACAACCCCACTTCCCTTCAGAAGGGGCAGGGGCTGGTGCTATGCCAGGTTAGGCATCAGCTGCTTTTCCTTGGGAAAAATTATCTTCCCTTCCAGCATGTCTTGCCATCCACACTCTTTTCACAGTGCAGTGGGAATCTGAGGTGAAAGACACCACAGCAACACAACTAAATTATTATTCTAAGCATTCCTTTCCTTTTCTCCCCCTGAACTTCCCGGACTTGTCTGACTCAGTCCCACCATAAGCCTTGCTTTTCTAACCAGTGTTTAAATTACTTCTGTGTCCATTTTAATGCCTTTAATTGCTATAAGGTAACACCATGTTTGCAGAAAGCCTACATTTGCACTGCTGAAGCAGCAGCTGCTGTTCCTTGCACACAACAGAACAAGGCAGCTTCTCCTAAGGCCTCCGGGAACTCTGTGGCAGGGCCAATTAGCAGGAGCCTGCTCCACATGCCCCCTTCCCTGGTATGCCCAGAGGGGAGACTCCAGACTGATTTCCTGAATGCCATCGAACTAAAGGCATCCCTACCTTGTCACAAAAATCTCTTCTCCATTCAGGCCCCTCATTTCTGTGACAACTCGAGAGGGGATTTCAGCTCCAGACGGGGCTGGGAGGGCACTCAGCATTCCAGGATGCAGAGCAAACCCAAGGAGAAGGCATGCAGACACCACAGGGAATGACATATGCTCTGCCATCCCAAATCACCCTTTCTGGCCTTAATGCCTCACTTCTGCCAGGGCCATTTGAGAACTATGAATAAAAAATACTTTTCTGGCCTCAGCAGGAACACACTGATGTCATCATCTGAGTGCTGGTTCTTCCCTCAGTCCCAGAAGAGCTGAGGGAGAGTTGCTGTACCTGGTGTTAAACTCATCTCAAACACTGTCCTTGTGGAGGCAGTTTGTTCTCTGGTATCTGATTACACAAAGCACCTCAAGGTCAAAAGGCCAAGACAATAGTTTTATAATCCAATGAGTATCAATTGTGCTGCTACAAAAATTGCATGATGCATTCCAAAGATACTGCAGGATCCAGTAGCACAACCACCCATTAGGGTTATTTTTAATAATAGTGTTATATGCAATAAAGATAATTCACACCTGTAGAGTGATATGTCATATTTGATATTATTAAGAAAATGCACAAGTCGGCACTGGAGGTTGTCTCACATATGTAGAGACTGGTCCCCGATAAAACCTCATTTACAAGTTAATACATGTAGCCCGTCCGGAGATGCGTCGTTTCTCAAAGTGATCCAGGAGCTTCCAAGCAATGATCATCCTGGCAAGACCCAAGATTGGAATCACTAGAACCCTCCAGGGTGATACATCTGAATACCGTATTCCCTGTAACTGCATCAGGAGGACCCATCGCTTCCTGGACACCAGATTGTTCAGCTCAACACAGAAAAAAGAGACTTTATGAATATGTGGGACTTTGAATGGAAAGAAAAGGCTGATCACCAAATCCCGGCCTCAAGAAAAATAACCCCTATAAAAACTGCTTGTACCAAGAGGGTGGTGTGTGGCGTAGGAGACCCTCTGCTGGAGTGGTCAAACCTGTGACCCACCCAGCACCGATCCCGGGCTCGGCACTGTCTTTTTCTTTGTGGTTGGCTCAGATAGAATTTGATTGCTATAATAAAATTGTTACTTTTATTTTTAATTTGGCTGCGTCAATTTTTATCTATAACAAGAGTAATATTAGTCCTTAATAAGATAATCTATTTATTTCTCCAGAAATGAAACAATATGTTTGCAAAAAAAAAAAAAACCCCTCGCAAATAAACCCAGCACTGGTTTTCTAACCTCACACCTCACTTGAATAATCCTGCACCATAAAGGTATCAGCTAACCATTCCTGCTTCTGGTTCAGTTTTGTGCTTCCTTTTCCCTTTAGACTTAAATATAAATATTTAATAAACTGCAAACTTTCTAAATTAGACTGAATTCTGCAACTAAGCTTCTGACATGGAAAATCAATAGGAAACAAAGCTGAACATACTCCTATCTTTCACAAAATGAACTGACTCGGTGATCTTTGTGCCTTGGGGTGTAAAGTCCATCTGACTTTATATTTACTCACAAGCTGTAGTCAGGAATAGGCAGAACATCAGGACTGTGTGAGGGTCAGAGCAGCACTGCCCCATCTGTAACAGCTGGGCCATGCTTCTCCCAACAGCATCCAAGGGAAAAATAAAGGTTTTTCAAAGTCCCTTGTGTCAAACAGGTCTTATAAAACAAAATATTACAAAGTCTTTGAAGCAGGTTCTGCCTTTTAGAGATGTATTCCCAGGAAGCCATTGCAAACATGGCCTAACGACTGTTTATGGCAGCATTCCACATGCTGAGAAAATGGGATCTTGTTTTATTTCAGATAAATACAAGGGGAGGGAGAAAAGAAACACCTCCCAGCCCCTTCATCCCCACTATGCTGAGGAGCAGGGACTCAGCACTGAGGTATTTTCAGCCACACCAAATGTCATTCATTTCTTTTAACGTGTCAGGCATTGCTAATGAACATCTCCTTCAGTCCCAGGCCGTCTGCAAACACCAGTTTCAAACACCTAAAACTGGAAGGTTTTATTGAAATCCTGATAGAAGATTCAGGAAAGATGAGGTAAGCCTGAAGCCCACAGGCAACCAGCCTGATGTAAGGAGGTCTCTTATCAGAGGAATCCATCCCTGTGGCAGAAACAGCTTCAGAGCAGAGCTGCCCTTATCTCCCACCAACACCGAGTTCCGCTGATGCCAGCACAGCATGGGACATGCCCAGCTCTTTGTTAGCCTCTCCCTGGCAGCTTTAGATCCCACCTCATCATGATCAGCCTCAGCAGTTACAAGTCAAACATTCACTGCTCCTGCAGTTTATTGTCTGCAAGTGCTTCCTTGGAGTGTCCTTTCCTTAATGTCTCATTTTGCTTTTATGAGGCCAAGTAGCATCAGAACATCTGGAAGCATTAAAAAAGGCACAATAAAAATCAGGTGAGTGCTACTCCATCCCCTCCTGCTCCTATTCACTACTCAGGGCAATCTTTTAGCTTGTGTTTGAGCAGGGGAACTTCTGTGATGGCAGCTTCTGCATGGAGCTAAGAGGTCTGGAATAAGCACTGGAGGTGAGTTGTCTTCTCTTGACATTTCTACATGTATACTTAAAATGAAGGTTCTGACCTTTGAGATCCAGCTAAATGAATTATCACAGAGCCTTCTAGAACCCTCAACTTGCATCAGGTTTCCAGCTGAATGGCCCATAGCCTATGGGAAAGCAACTGGAGCACTGAGTAGGACTGCAGAGAAGCAAAGCGGGGAGGGAGAAGGACAATCAAAATAAACCAAGACAATAATGGTTTGGTTTGTTAGAGGAACTAAAGACAAAGCCTTTGCAAAGACAAATGCAGGGGGTTAAACATCTGCACCAACACAGCCCCAGCAGGAAGGAGATGTCAGCAGCTGTTTGAGCAGCTTGACTGGGTTCAGCTGGGCTGAGGGCAGCAGTCTCCAGCTGCCTCCTTCCCTCTGCCCTGCTCAGGGACATTTGGGAGGAGGGAAACCAACTGATCCAATGCCAGTTGTGACACTTCCACCAAATGCCACAGCAAGTGCCCACTGACTTTGTGCTGACCTTGTCCTGAGCTATGGAAGACCTGAGCCCAGGTTTTGACAACAGTTCAGGGGATCAAAGTCAAAACTGGTTTATAGCAGTTCCCAGCATTTACAGTATCTCCTGGTGAAGGGCTGACCTCCTGCTGGAAACCCCTGAGCACAGCTGGGCCACCCAGGACTGAACCCTGGCTTTCCCAGCTCACCCCAGAGTTGGGAAATGCAAATCCTTCCTGCAGCTCTCATCTGGGAAGGCCACAGAACTAATTCAGTTTAGGAGAACTAAGGAAAATGCAAAACTGACTAAGGACCTAAAAAGTACAACCCCACCCCAAGAACCCCTTGCTGGCACTATAACCTAAAATGTACAAATTACAGTTTCATTGGATGATTAAATACTGGAGCTGAAAGACTCTGGAGAGAATTTCTGTTAACAAAAGAACCCAAATGCAGGCAAAAGTAAAAAGGTGCTAATGGATTTTATGGACTGCTTTTTGACAGAATTTGTTAGGTGGAGGAGTGAAAGGGGAGAAAGTTGTCCTGAAAATCAGTTGAGAGTATTTTTGCTAAAATAGAAAGACATTGCAGAAAAATTGAGCTTTGTTCACAGAGAAAAATCTAAAATTGCACCACATCTACCAATAAAACAGAACTTACACCCCCTGCCTCCCACCACAGCCTTCAATCATCCTCCTACCTGGAAAACGCTGCGACATTATCAGCTAGGGTTTCCTGGTCATCCGCCCCAGATCGGTAATAATCATACACATATTTGGGCAGAAAGTTTTTAGCATACTCCTCAAAATCTGCAATGCACACTGGCTTGCCAGACATGTCTGCAGATCTCACTGGGTTAGTTTACTCCCACACTTTTCAACTCTGGAGTTTTGCCTGTAAATCATTAATATGGGACCTCATCAGGAGTCAACTTGTCTACATTTCTCCCTCCCAAAAAAAATAAATACACCATCTTCTTGTGTCATATTGGACTTCAGCACCATCTTTTAGTTCATGTGGTCAAGGCCAACCTAAAACATAACAGAATAAAATATGGTAAAAAGGAAGAAAATTAGTAAGCAATATATCGATTCCTCCAGTAACAGGAATGTACATTCCCCTCTATCATCCAAAATATCCAGGCAACTGAAAGCAGAAAGAGTTTGCTCATGCCCAAAACGCAAAGTCTTGATTTGGATGATTTCTAAAAGCAGGTCCCAGCCTGCACATTTAGGGTAACACCTAACACAGGTGAGATACAGTTATTTCCATTAAAATCCTGGTTACCAAGGCCAGTTGCAGAGACCCACCTGCCAGACATTGTTGGGCAAACAGCTCCCGCTTTTCAGATAATTCCATCTCCACAACTCAGAGGGCTCTCTTTATTCCAAAAATATTAAAGAGTCACATACATTCATCATCTGGAAACAAAGTCATCTTATCGAAGACACAATCCTCATCCCAAGTGTAACAGACTTGGTTAACATTTCTTGATTTCTCCTTATTTTAAATTTTAAAAAATATGCAGAGTTTTAAACAGGTTTATAGTAATTGTTTGACAGGGCAATTAAGAGTATATCATGTGTATATATTCATTTTTTCAGCTGCAGACTGCACATTAATATCAATTTACACACAATTACACCACGAGGCATTTGTCACGTATCAGTGTCAGAAACAATTCAAATGCAAACTGCTTTAACCTTGGCATTTCACTGCACTTGCAGCAAAAAACTGGGGACACGTCTGCTTGCATTTATTTAAAGTTTGCATCATCTGTACTAAAAACAGGTATTTATCCTGGAGCATGAGACAGGAAGTGCTGCATGATAGCTGGACATTCTAATATGTGCAGCTGAACTCAACTTCAATGAACTCAAAAGGTTTTTATGTTGGGAAGCTGCAAAAATTTCTGGAGGCAACAACAGTGTGGCCCCACTGTTCCCCTCTCCCTGTTCTATAATGTCTGTATTCTTCAAAACTCTTCCCACCTTGATATTTATTTTTCCACTTAGATGTTTCTCTCCCACATTCACAAGATATCAGTGATTTACTTTAATTGCCGTTATTTGCCACTCAAGCTAGAAGTTGCTCTTCCCTCCCCTGAAGTTTCTCAGGTGCCACCCTTTATGGATCTCCCACATCTGTCACTCACACCCTGAAACCCCTCTTGGACAACTGAATTCCTACTGCAATCCAGCCAACACACCTTAGGAAGTTCCACAGAGCTCAGGAGTCCAACTGGAACTGGAGCCTCCAGCAGGATCCATCACTTCCCATGCTGGCTAGCTGCTGAGCTGGAGTGAGGTGGAAAGTGCCAGTATCAGCACAAGGGAAACAAAACTAAGGAAAACGTGATATTTAATGCCAGGTCTCCTCAACACATCTGACACCACCACACACAGCTTCCCTCCAAGTAATTGGCTCCTCATTTTAATGAAATTTCTCTGGGTGAGATTTTCCCTGGCTGCTTAATGAGACATCAGCTGTCTGACCTTTAACCCTGGAGCCAAGGAATCTTGCCTGAACAGCAAAGAGCTTGCCCGAGCAACCATGCAAACCTCACTGCCACAATCCATGTCAAAAAACCAACAGAGCCAGGGTCATGTGAACATCCCCTCCCTCATCTCCTGCTTCTCCCTCGCTCCTTTGGCAGGAGCTACAAACAGAGAATGGGGTCACACTTAGAGCTCAGCTGATCCAGGCTCTGCAAAGGAAACATTTCACTGTGGTTCAAAAGATCAATCACAAATTCCAGAGGAAAAACCCCACAGAGGGTATTTTGAACAGAGACACAACTTGTGGCTTAGAAAGCACTACTTGCAAAAGCCAAAAATACTTAGGAGAAAAACCACATGCTTGTCCTGATGGCTGTGACTTGCTAGAAAGGGAGACTTCTGCACAGCATTCCAATCTGGACCTGTGTCCTTCTGCAGGATCAGAGAAAAAAACACCAACAGTCTCCTGTCAGCACATGAAAACCTCTGCTGGGGAAAGATGACCCAGCTGGGACTTTCTCCCTTTAGTTAGCTGCAGTAAAGATTAACTGGAGAAGTTAACTGCATCAAATAATTCAAATGTTTTAGTGTACAAGCCATTGCCCATTTTTCAAGACTGTTGTGCAAAGCTGTTTTATCAAGTACCTTACGTAAGTAAAACAGTTATTTTGGCTTCTGAATTCCCCACAAACAATTTCTCCAAATAAAGTCATAAAATACCTATTTTCTAGAGTGTTTTTGGACAGCATCTTACATCAGTCAAAGCTGAACCAATTCATTTTGTCCCCTCCAAGGCAGCCAGGAGAACCAACAGAAAATACTTGTGGCGTTTTTATCCCAGCAGCCATCTGGAAACTCCACTGTGGGAGTCAAAGCCAATGGATGCTGCAGGGATGAGGACAGCTCCTTGGCCATCCAGCAGGTGGCTGGAACAGGCCCCTAGATGTCTGTTTTGGGAAGTTAGCTTGGAAGTCTGGAGATTGCTGGGATGGCAGAAGAATGGAGCATTGAGCAGAGGACTGAATCTCCTGGGAGGAGCTGGATGGTTCTGAGTACAATTAAACCAATCCAGAGCAGATTTACAAAGAAGACTCAGTGTCACTCTTGTGCCCGCAACCACAGCAACAAAGACATAAAAAGTGTTCTTATCAAGGGTGATCTTGTGATTTCCTGATGTGTGACTGACACTTGGCCACTGTCCTTTCTGCATCCTCTGCAAGCACGTGAGGCACAGGCCCAGTCTGTGCCAGGAAAATCTCTGGTGCAAAGGTTCAGCTCCCACACTCCCCTGGAATCCAGATTAACAGATGTAAAAGTCTGAAGTACCAGCAGGCTCCAAGTAATTCTAGTGAACCATTAAAAACAACCTTTCCATGTAAAATGGAAATTTAAATGAAAACATTAGGATAACTACATCCCCATTTGTTCCCTGAATGTTTAAATGCACAGCTTTCCTTTCTCCTCAGGAAAGAAGTAAAAGTAAAAGCAGAGAGTTCTAGGTGTTTTTCTAATGGGAGAGGAATGAAGATGTTTGGTTAAAAATAAGTAATCACCACAGTACTTACTGAAGTGAAATACAACTTACTCCCCAGCAGAAGGAAATGACAGCACACACTACTGGGCAGTTGCATTCCCAGAGCTGGGACTTACCACTGGTCCAGTTCCTGATAGAAAAATCAAGCTTTTCTACCACTTTCATTTTCTTCAGTATTTCCTATACAAAACTAGAGCTTGGATTTTTCTGATTGCTTGAACCTGATCAAAACCTGACCTAATTTTGCCTGTAGTAATATTCCATGTGATATTTTCATGGAGAAAATTTCATATTCTCACATCATAAGAAAACAACAAGCAGCTGACAAGCCAGCAAACAAAATGCTCCCAAGGCTTCATTTGATACCGTTCCAACTTGCACTTTGTATCCAGAAATGAACACAGTGGAAAAGAAGAAGACCAAAGGGAGTGGCAAATGACCCAGGCCCTGCAGCTGCTTCTTTCACAGGGAGAGGCAGCTCAGGTAACTCACCTGAGCAGAATGAATCCAGGTGCCAGATCCAGTAGCTGCTCACACTGTCCAAGGAGGTCACAGGGATGGTTCCTGGCAGTCCCTTCTCTCTCTGGCACAGCTGCCCCTACAGCCTATTCCTGCAGCACTGCCTGGAATGTGAACCACAACCTGAGGATGGCTCCTTTAGGTCTGTACATTTCTTGCTGGCCTCCAAATCCCAGAGGGAGTCAGCATAGCTTTGGCAGAGTTAGGGGATTTCTCAGGGAGGGGAAAGAACTACCTTGTGTGGAGGTGAAGCCTTTAAGGGTTCAGTTATGCTGTTCTGCCCAGTTCCATTCTGAACCTCTGAGAGCCCTGGGTTCCTCCAGGGAAACCCTCCAAAATGAAGCAATTCATTGATGTCCAGGTTCCTTTTAAAGATTTTAAGGAATCTTCACAAGTCATAACCTCTATGATTAATTGGAAGATCAGCATTATTTAAAAAAAAACCCAACCTTTTGTTAATGACGCAGATGAGCCAACACTCACTGAGGAAATGAAAATTACTCCAAGCTGGTCATAAATACAAAATTTTATGTAGCATTTCAGTAAAAATACACCCAAGTATAAATTTGCAACACTTTCATGTAACAGACAACCCTGTGTAACATTTCCAAGAAGAAAACCTACATAACAAGTGCCACCCCTACGGGGGCAGTAGATACAGAGCATTCCAAGACACACAAGTTTCACACAGATCCCAAGGACAGGAGGTTTGGAATGCTGGATGGATTTCCAGCCTCTTGAAAAAGGAACCTGCCAGATTTATTCCATGACTTGCTGTTAAGCATTCCCATTCCAGTAGCATGCAGCCCAATTGATATTTAAATTGCTTCTCAACAATTTCAAATTAATTTTGACACACAGCTCTAGTTCACAAGCCTTAAGGCCCTGTCCTTCATCAAAATATTTTGTACAGCGCCAGCAGCAGCTTCTCCAAGGCCCTTTTGTCTATACTGAGGTTGCAAGAACAAATTCAATTTCTTCATGATTAATCCTAACAGAACAGAGATAACAGTACACCCAGATTGCACAAAAGGTTGATCCTGACTTTTTGGAAACACACCAAGTTTAAAACTATTGTCATAGTCTAATTAGCACTACTCACATGATTCAATTAAAATGCATTTTAATGGAGAAATACCCGATCCTGGAAGGTATATTAACATGACACTTCTACTGCACAGCTAATAGTTTCTCTGTTAAACACAAATTTAGCCTTTACAGTGTTTGCTGCCTGCTGTTTCCCAGATAAATATTAGTCAAAACTGAGTATCTCCAGTATCACACTATAGCAATTTTCCTACAGACATAAACTTAAGTTGGAGAGATCAATGGT